AAAAAGTAGGTACGCTAGCACAAAAACTATGGTAACTTCACAAAATAGCTATGTTCAGAATGATATAATATGCCGAACTCCATATCACTGTGATAATAAATCATTATACTATTACATTTTATACATTATTTATTACCTACAATACATTGCTCTGAATTTTTATTCGCTTATCTGTAGGTATTGAATGTACGCGTAATCATAAAACGTTAGTCTAAAAGTAAGTACAAAACGAGTGCATAGATTAACTAAGTCGAATACCTAATTTTAATACCTAGGTTTTGTATGTAAATTACACGCTTATCAATTGCGTAAGGCGCCTACTTATTATTCAGTTTCATTTATTATTAAATAACTAGTTATTACATGTGTGTTTAGCTGCGGAAATAATTTACATACCTCCTGCTGTGATACCCGTAATTTAAATACCTACTACGAATTTGCGCATTAAAAATACCATAAAGATTCGGGAACCAAATGCAAGAAAGATATTTTGAGCACTATGGCCTAGGTACTTGAATCCAGGTTTTAATCCAGGATAGTAGAGACCATCAGTGTTTTCAGTAGGCTTGAAAAAGACTGACGCTCGTATTCAAAAACAGTACTATGAGGTCTCACAGTGCGCGTGGACGCACAGGGTGACACACGAACCAATCACACACAGACACAGAGCTCTATTCAACGCTGTGCGTTTAATTTGCTGCTTCACTTAAGCAAGCATCGTTTGTGAATACGGGCGTGAGTGTATAATTATCATTAGGTGATTATTGGAAGAGCTACGAGTATCTTTAAGAATCCGAACAGAGGTTTTATTTGTTGACTAGCTGACGCGGCGAACGTCGTACCGCCTATGTTCATCCGAAAGTAGGATTCTAGTCGTGAAAGAATTTTTCCAATCAGTCCAGTAGTTTTGGAGCCTATTCAATACAAACAAACAAATCTGTTTATAATATTAGTGTAGATAATATTAATACAATAGACCGATAAGATTAGGTGCTATTGTTAGCTCATTGTATTGAAAATATGCTCCAATTTAAAATTGGGCTAGTATTTTGAAATTATATTATTAATTAGCGGCCGCCCGCGCACGTCCGCGATTTAGTACATACTCGTGGATCCCGTTTTACCCCCTTAGGGGTTGAATTTTGCAAAATCTCGTGAGCACCTACGTTCTAAAAGGAACCCCCATGCAAAATTTGAAACTCCTAGCACTTGTAGTTTCTGAGATTTCGTGATGAGTGAGTGAGTAAGTGCTACATTCCTTTAGCTTTTAAGTAACCTTTGACCCAAGTAATATTGTCATCATCAATCTTGACGACAACAATCTTGGGTTTTGAAACCGTTGAATTTCAAATTATTTATTAGTAATGAACTACTTAATATAGGAGTAGGTACTTATTATTATTATGTGATATTATAGGTCCTTCTCAGGAAAGTTATACAATTTCCTGAAATAGTATAGCCTGTCCTATACTACAACCACTTTAGTAGAAAACTGGTGCTGAAAAGAGGTGGGGGAAACTCAGCTAAGCTACATGACTTATCATGTACCTACGCATTTGAACCTAGTAGGTACAACTGTTACTAGATAAAAAAAAACCTAGATCAGAAGAAACACTGTTTGATAATTTTGAACTTACTTAGTTAAACTAGTGAAACGTCTTATAAGTACGACATCATAAAGGTCATTAAGGAAATCATTGGGGGACGCCTATGTTCAGCAGTGGACGTCCTAAGGCTGCAAAAAGTTTACGATGATGATGATAAAACGTCTTATAAATACTTACACGTGCTTCCAAAATTACGAATTGTCTACGTGCTGGCAAAAATATTCGGATATTATTCAGCTGTTCAACTCAAGGTCATATTTTCATTTTTTGCCACAATAACACTGTTATCAACAATTTGGGAGATTGTAAATCAAAACAGTTATAATTCAACGCTGTTATCAGGAAGTAGATAGTATTTATCTTTTCGGCTGTCGCTGACACTATTATTGTTGTACTTCATCCCTTTGATAACTTTGCGCTGATAAAACTGTTTTGTTGGACTATTTATTTTCAAACTTATGCGGATATTTGATAAAGTTGTTAAATAATGATACTTATTCTTTTATTGTTGGTAAACGCTACCAAGAACAACCATGTTGACCAGACTTGATGAAACATCGTAGGTAATTGAATCTTAAATTACGAAATTTAAAATAAATATTCTTTCTTGATGGATGAAATTGATCCAAACCAAACTAGGAGCATATTGACTTTGCAATTGCTTTATTACATCTGTGAATCAAACCCAGGACATTTTATAAATGAGGGTAGTCGAATTCTCTTACAATTAGATCACAAAGTCGTCACAGAAAATAATCTGATGATGAGAATTTTCAACATAAATTACAAACATGAAAAACTAAATTTGAACCTCAGTATTAATTACAATTTTTATCAGGAAAATTAAACAACAATACAGCTCTATGATTACTACCATTCTGTATCCTCATAGTACGCCGATAATAATCGAGAACGGTGCATAATAAACGAGTATCGATCGGAAACGTATAGCCTTGATGAATTCGTCTAACAAAGTGTATCGAGAATTGCCATCGACGATACGTATGACGTTAAAATAGAGTGGAGACCTCGTATATCGAATACATACTTCGATAAATTGACTTGCAAAGTGACTGGTGGCGGTTGAAAAAGAATAAAGAATCGGGCTCAGTGAAGTGCCTTGCGGGACACCTAAGCCTAGAAGTGGATTTTGGCGGATTATGATGTAAAGAGATAGTGGGGATTTAAAAATTATCTTATAAATAAAATCATGCATTAAACATTTAACTTGCATTTGCCCTATCAGATGAACCTTAACTGATTTCTTCAGATTATTGTAACAACCCCACTTAGTTGCATGCAAGTCCTTGTAGAGTCATTTGCATTAAGGTTACCTATTATTGACCAAGATAGTTAACCATAATTTTTTTTCTAAGGTTTTGTTGCTAGCCTTTCTCGATAAATGGACTATCGGAAAACAACAATATTTTAAATTCGGATTAGTACTTCCTGAGATTGACGCGTTCAACTTACAAATTCTTCTTTATAATATTAGCATCGAATTCGAAGTATCGATTTGTTTGTCTACGTGGTGCTAGAAGTACTTAATCTCTCATGATTCTTAAAATTAGATGAAACTGATAAGTAGTTTATTTTAATTAACATCGTTAGAGGAAATCAAACAACAAGCAAAGAACAATGACTGCCCCAACAATTTTCTCCACGAAGAAAGAACTGTCATCTTAAGAGGCTGGCTTGAGTTAACTAGCACATAGCGCCAGCAATTTTAATGTAACTAACTCTATAATAAGGTCAATTCTAAGAAAAGGAAACAATGAAGCTTGCGTACAAGGAATGTCAGGCATTTAATAAGAGTAGATTAACTTTTTACTGCCTTTTACTTTCAATTTGTAACAGGTTACAAAAGGCGATCCTAAAGCCACGTGACATTGTCACCCAGTTAGTTTCTATAATTAGCCTGTAAGACATAAAATAAATCCATTTCTAAAAGCCACGATAGCCGAACGGTAAAAGGGTCGTCATCCGATGAACGCGGGTTCGATCCCCGCTGGGATGAACCCGCGTTCTATTATTTATTTATTTATTTATTTATTTATTTATTTATTCATTTGCAATAACATATTCAGCACATACAGGTATACATGCATTCATACATTGACCCTGTAAGGGTGTAGCAAAGTTACATNCCAGCACAACATGCCTCAACACCCAGTTTCGGCTTGACGTTACATTACGGGACACCCTGTATAATACTAGTTATTGGACAGACACAGTCCGTAAATCTGCCCGCATAAAAAGCTCATAAAAACTCATTTATTTTTGCAAATAGGCTTTTAAAAAGCACTTTTACACGTCCCTGTATTAACCCTACCACTGCTTCGGGACAATAAATGGGCCAGTGCTGAGAAGAAGAAGCGCAAGAAAATCAGTCACTATTGTCAGCCTCCTTTTCAGAATTGCTAAAATCAAGTGGCAGTGGATGGGGCACATAGCTCGTAGAGATGATGGCCGTTGGGGCAGAAGTTCTCGAGTGTCGCTCACGGGCTGGAAGACGTAGTGAGGGCGGCTTCTCACTAGGTAGACCGACGATCTGGCGAAGGTCGCGGGAAGTACCTTGATGCAGGCAGCGCAGTACCGGTTGTTGTAGAAATACTGGGAAAACAAATGACTGGTCGCGAAATCGCGGCCCTGCATGCGTACGGAAAAACTGTGGGAAAAACGCAGTCCGCAACTCCGCTCCGCATACTTTTTCCGCTCCAGTATCTAGCTCCGCATCTTTGGAAACTTGGATAGACGGTCCACAACTTCACTCATACTTCTCTCATTTAGGCTGGTTTTTGAGTCACGCTGACGCACGCTGACCGTCAGCGCTGACAGCCTAAATGTATGAAGCGTCGGCGCCGAGCGATCAGCGTCACTCAAGAACGTTCCTTTCAATTACATACAATATATTGATCTGTCAGCGCCGACGATCAGCGAGCGGTCAGCGCTTTTCTAAAACCCGCCTTATTCCGCTACCTGCCTCTGCGTCTATGGACATAGTCTGCAACTCCACTCCGCGTGATTTCTCCGCTCCGCTACCCACCTCCACCTCTATAGACAGTAACAGTCCACAACATCGCTCCGCATTACTCTACTCCCTCGCTCGTAGTGCCGCCGGTGGCTCGCCTAGTGCCCACACTGCCGGTGGCTCACCTAGTGCCCACACTGCCGGTGGCTCGCCTAGAGCCCACACTGCCGGTGGCTCATCTAGTGCCCACACTGCCGCTGGCTCGCCTAGTGCGCCACACTGCCGGGGGCTCGCCTAGTGCGCCACACTGCCGGTGGCTAGCCTAGTGCGCCACACTGCCGGTGGCTCGCCTAGTGCGCCACGCTGCTGGCTTGCCTAGTGCGCACACTCGCCTTGTAGGTGGCGGAGGAGACTCGCGTGCTGAGCCCTCCTCTGTAGTGACCCGCTCGTAGTGCCGCCGGTGGCTCGCCTGGTGCGCCACGCTGCTGGCTCGCCTAGTGCGCACACTCGCCTTGTAGGTGGCGGAGGAGACTCGCGTGCTGAGCCCTCCTCTGTAGTGACCCGCTCGTAGTGCCGCCGGTGGCTCGCCTGGTGCGCCACGCTGCTGGCTCGCCTAGTGCGCACACTCGCCTTGTAGGTGGCGGAGGAGACTCGCGTGCTGAGCCCTCCTCTGTAGTGACCCGCTCGTAGTGCCGCCGGTGGCTCGCCTGGTGCGCCACGCTGCTGGCTCGCCTAGTGCGCACACTCGCCTTGTAGGTGGCGGAGGAGACTCGCGTGCTGAGCCGCGGGTCGGCGGCGTGCGCGGCGACGATGGCGGCGTCCTCCTCCTCTGTAGTGACCCTCTCGTAGTGCCGCCGGTGGCTCGCCTAGTGCGCCACGCTGCCGGTGGCTCGCCTAGTGCGCCACGCCGCCGGTGGCTCGCCTAGTGCGCACACTCGCCTTGTAGGTGGCGGAGGAGACTCGCGTGCTGAGCCCTCCTCTGTAGTGACCCGCTCGTAGTGCCGCCGGTGGCTCGCCTGGTGCGCCACGCTGCTGGCTCGCCTAGTGCGCACACTCGCCTTGTAGGTGGCGGAGGAGACTCGCGTGCTGAGCCGCGGGTCGGCGTTGTGCGCGGCGACGATGGCGGCGTCCTCCTCCTCTGTAGTGACCCGCTCGTAGTGCTGCCGGTGGTTGGCCTCGAGCGTGCCCTCTTCCTCCCAGCGTCGGATCCAGAAGTAGACGGTTTTACGCTGGCAAAGAAGCATCCCAACTAATATTATAAATGCGAAAGTAACTCTGTCTGTCTGTCTGTTACGCTTTCCCGCTTAAACCTCGCAACCGATTTTGATGAAATTTGGCATAGAGATAGTTTGAGTCCCGGGAAAGAACATAGGATAGTTTTTATCCCGGTTTTTGAAACAGGGACGCGCGCGATAAAGTTTTTCTGTGACAGACAAAAATCCACGCGGGCGAAGCCGCGGGCGGAAAGCTAGTAATTAATAAATATAGTTTTTTGGTCTGTTCCACCACTTTGATCACCTGTACGCCTAGGATGCGCGCCGTGATAGGATTATACATTTGTGATTTCTCGCCTAAAATCGTCGATACGATTTTATCACGGCGTGCATCCTAACCCGACTGGATTGGACTTCTTAGCTATGTAGGTGATCAAAGGACACCTGGGTGAGCTAATCTAGGTGTTCAAAGTGGAATAGACCTACTTTTTCCGCACTAGCAAATATTCTGTTGTCCCAAAGTGGTGATATTTTTAAATTGAGAACAGACTTATCTCAGTTACTTAACTCATTTATTTTTGTTATATTATCAGTAAAATAAAGGAAGGCCACAATACATAAAGAATGAAGAAACAAAACAATCATATCAGGGTCTATCAAACAATGACCTTTTTAAGCAAAAAAAGAATTTCACATTCTTTTAATCACATTAATTGGACCAAAAAGATTATAAGTATTATATAGTTCACTGTTTTTCTGTAATAAAAACATTTGAATACACAAATCACTCACCGTTATTCCAGTTTGGGCACATATTTCTTTGACTCTACACCCACTTCGTCTTAGTGCAATTATCCGCTGTCTTTCCACTTTAGAGATCTGCGGTGCCATTTACGAATTCCACATGTACACCTCGAACAGTCGATGTGACTGAACAGTTTGAAAATTATTTATATCACTTATTGTCACTCAATTTGAAATGAAAGTCTTCCAACTGATAAACATGATATCAAGAAGTGCACACGATAAGTCTAAATATTGCACAATTTAACACCCTTTAAAGTGCACCTGTCTGTTTAAGAGTTTCTGGTTATTTTACAACAAATAATGCCTATATTTTCCCGTAACAACTCCTTTCTGTAGTGTTCACTCTTTGAAGCAGTTGTGTAATAATATCTTTTTTAACTATTACAAAAATCTTGTCCTTTCGACAATCCCATGTTTTTGTATTTTATATAATTCTCTGATAAAAAGTCCCCTTCCATCTGAAACAATATTGAAAAATTGTCATCAACCTATTTCATGCTAAGATAATATGTATTACATTTTTACTTATATGATTGTAAGTCCTAAAGTATGATGGTGATTTACATTTCATTTCGTTTTAGTTTTAAAGTCTTTTAATAGAGGATTGATAAGATAAATCAGTGTAGTTTTGTTTGTTAATTCAAACAACTGAAAACAAGCTTAGGCTTAATTATGCACAGGTTAATTCCTATCATAAAAGTAGGTAATTCGTGTTACTGAACAGTAACTTGTAAACTGTACATACCTACAAATATTTGTATTTACTCTTAGATTAATAATTTTTACTACAATTCAAGATCAATAATTTTGCAAGAAAAAAAGCTCATCTCCAAGGATTATTTTGCATTAAAAATAATATTTGACATAGCCCTCAAAAACGCTCACGACCATAGATCTTATAAATATGTCGCAGGCAAATTGTATGATTCCGCATTTTACAAACGGCGTCGTCAGTTCACAAACGCTCGCTGCTCTATGAAATGCCGAAGGCAAAATGTAAATTGCCTGGGCACTTTATAATATGCCAAAACATTTGATAGCCGCGGCAAATTGAAGTATTTAGTTCTTTTTCTTACCACACGAGGCGCTGCTAATCAAAACAAGAAAAATGGCGTCGAGTCGTGGTGTTGTGATACAGAAAACAGTGCAAATTATACGTATTTATTTATTTATTTATTTATTTATTTATTTATTTATTTATTTATTTATTTATTTATTTATTCATTTGCAATAACATATTCAGCACATACAGGTATACATGCATTCATACATTGACCCTGTAAGGGTGTAGCAAAGTTACATNTACTAACTGTTAACCTTTGACATGCAAAACGGTGGCTTTTTAATTTGTTTTTACTTTTTATTATTATAGTTATTACGTAAAAGACATACAACTTTTTAATAATGTACATCTCAAAAAAAAAAGAAAAGAAAAAAATACATAAAAAAGGCTGAAAAATTTAGGCGATTCTAAGGGCTATATCCGTACCGCGCGGGAATAACTTGACATGTCATTTTTGCGTACTTTTCAGGGGAGCGATTTTAAAGTTTAGAGTTCTCTGGTAAATCGGAATTAATGATAANTTTCTTCTATTGTCAAGAGCAGTGGTGATGGAGTGGACAAGTTCATGGACCGCATCGTTAGTGGACTTTCCTCTGCGGAAGCCAAATTGTGCTGGAGAGAGAAGGTCATATTTTTCAAGGTAGGCGACAAGCCTATTATTCATTAGTCGCTCAATGATTTTGGAAAGAGATGGTAAGATAGCTATGGGTCTGTAATTGTCGACTAAACTCTTGTCACCGCTCTTGTATATGGGTTTAATTTGTGCCAGTTTGAGGGAACTCGGAAACACGCCATTAGAAATGGCCAGGTTAATGATGTGGGCGATGGGAGCTGCCAGTAACCCCGCGTATCTTTTTATGACTGTGGTAGATATTTGGTCAACTCCGACTGCGCACCCATCCCTGAGTCCGGCCACAATCTGAAATACTTCGAGATCATCAGTCTGGGCTATTGCGAGTGAACTGCTAGGTGAAGTACGACTACGTAAGAGTGCCTTGCAAGAGCAGTCAAGTCGAGTGCAAATTGGTATTTTTTCAGCCAAATTTTGACCGACACTAGCAAAATGCATATTGACCTCATTTATACTCTGAGCAATCTTCTCTATCTTTTGGTAGAGCTACTACAAGTTTTATTGTATTATCTATGAAATGACAGACGATATACCTATCTCACAATTTCAGTCAACTGCTGTACTGCAGGCTTGCTTAGCCATCTTATATTAGTCGGTCCATCCAGTTAATTAGCTACTGACGACGCCAGCGGCTTGTAGCGGAGTTTGGGGTTGACACTGTCTAGGCTTGCTGTCAACATGACAAGAAGAAGAATTAGTACCTGAGTAGTATAAGCTCCTTCCTTATGTTGGAAAGACATTGTCTCGATTCAAGAACTGGTTCTATAGTCTGGTCTGCGAGCACGTAGAATTTTGTCCAATGACCCCAAGCTACCTATCCTTACCGCTCGCGCGTAATTATGTTGCTGTCGCGCGAGCAATAAGGACCGGTAGGTTGGGGTCATTGGACAAAATTCTACGTGCTCACAGACCGGGCTTTACCTTTAAATCGGTTCTGCTCACTTTATCTTGCTTTTAAACTATTTCCATTTAGCCTTTGCCGAATGACCTAGTTCTGAATTTTATCCTAGCCATCGATTTCCATTGCTCGCAGACTGACTACCAAGTAGTTGTAGAGACTATTAAAGTCATATTGTTCATGTTTGTTCAAAAGGGCATCTGTCACCTTTATGAGACTAGCGGCCGCCCCCAACTTCGTACGTGTGGATCCCGTTTTACCCCCTTAGGGGTGGAGTTTCGTAAAATCCTTTCTTACCTGCATGCCAAATTTCAGCCCGATCCGTCCAGTGGTTTGGGCTGTGCGTTGATAGATCACTATGACAGTCAGTCAGTCAGTCACCTTTGAGTTATAGGTATTTAGATAGATAATTTCGAAGGAAATTGATAAACTTGCGGATCTTGTTATTTTTCGGTGACACATTTATGGAACGCCAGTTCTTTCATGATCAATATGAATACCTGCTTCTCAGAAATTGTATCGTAGCAGTGGCGGAGAGATATTATAGGTATGATGCAACTTTCCCAACACATACCTACCTAATACCTACAAGACATTCTTGACAACTTCGAACGCCATACCTTACCTGGAAATCGGGTCCTGGGATGAAATGCTATTTGATAATGAACTTGGCTTTATCCAAATAAATTCCGTCCCAAATTCCTTCACACACACTAGGCCCTTTCTGCATTTGTTCTGAAATTACTGGTATGTTTAACTTATTTTTATTTTATTTTTCTTTATTCAGAAAACCACAGATCTTTATAATAATAATACAAACTGGTATTTTTGTTCTTACAGCCAATAAATTAGAGATGAAACGGATATCCGGTAACTATCCGGTAAGCCGGATATCCGGCCTAAATTTACTATCCGGCCGGATACCGGATAGTAGCTCACTATCCGGCCGGATAGTAAATTTAATATCCGGTATATTAAAAAACTACGACAATTTCCTATTAATAACATGAAATACATTAATCTTTGAGATAAATATAAATTAAATGGCTTATAATACTGACGGCTTTTATCTTAAGTTCCAAAAAGTTACAAAAAAGCCATATTAAGCCTTTCAAAAAACTAATTCACTATTCACTCTAATGACAAATACATAAATAGTAAATATCTGTTAATGTCGAAATATTGCCAAATAAAATAGGCGATGTTTTTTTCACTTGTGGTCTGTGGGCTGAGTGTGAGTTTACATTAAACGCGCTCAATGAAAATTTTAGTTTTTGAACGTTTCCCGCTAGGGGCGATGTACAATCCCTCATACATTTAATGTCATTTTTTGATGCGCTCACTAGTGAGCGCGTTTGATGAAAACTCACACTAGGCTCTCTGATGACATGATGCAGTTCAGTCAGATTACGCAGCAAGTAAACTAATTTAATTTTCGCTATTCAATCACACACTCACGATGGCAACCGAAATCGCCCGAATTGATCTGCCCCCTAGACAAGTGGCAAAATCTGACATTCTATTCGGACCTCAGATCATAGAAAGGGGAAAACTTCTATGATCTGAGATTCGGACGGATTCGATTTTTAAAAAGTTTGACTAGTCTAGTCTACTAAAGACCCACTGGTCGCGTTCGAAGCACCTGTGCGGCGCTAAACTCGTCACGACATACAACGAGAAAATAGGCCAACTATCCGGCCGCCGGATATCCAGCTATCCGGCCTAGCAGCTGGCCGGATATCCGGTATCCGGTATCCGGCCAAACAACTATCCGTTTCATCTCTACAATAAATTCTACGTTATTACAATCTCGTAAAAAACAGTCAAAGGGGCAAAAAAGAAAAGGTTGTGCGTGTGTGTGTGTGTGTGTGTGTGTGTGTGTGTGTGTGTTTTTATTTACCTACTAAGTCGCAAATCTCCTTCTTGAAAGAGTGCAAACTTATTGATGTCAGCTGGAATTAATGCGATATTCACAGACAGACAACCGTAAATTTCCATTGCGAGAAAGCCTTTAGAGCTTTCTCCGAATAATTACGGTACAATAACTACTTAGTAACTATGCTATCTGCGGCAGCTTTGTGTGGAGCCGCCATTTGTAAAGGAGCTTCTGTGAATTTCAAGCAGGGATGTTATGGATATCCGTAACCGTAACCAAAACTTTCGGATATCCGAAATAAAAAATATCCGAAACCGTAACCGTACCTAACCGATTCAAAAGTTTCGTATAGTTTCGGATGTAGGCAGTTTAAATTGTTTATTGTATCTATAGCATTATATGTAAAGGCTTTTTTATGTCTGATTTACCTTTATAATTTTTTTTAATTACTCTTCATTCGATGTAAAGTGTGCGGCCATGAATGAACCGTGTTAGACAACTATTGCAAATTGCATTTTAAAGCACAGATATCCGTAACCGTAACTTTCGGATATCCGAAATAAAAAAATATTCTTAACCGAAACCGGTATAATATTATTCCTATATCCGTAACCGTATCCATAACCGAAACTACATATCCATAACATCCCTAATTTCAAGACATCGTTATAACGCGGAAGCTCTTCTATCAGTCGGTAAGCTCAGCGATCTGCTTTGAACACAATGGAAGTCGTTAGGTGTACTATTATAGGATCTAATGTACATTAATTTAATTTTATTATCTTTTTAAAATATTAAGTTCGGTTTTATTTTTTCGTCATTAATTTAGTACATAACAAACTAGATGTGCCCACAGTCCCACTCACAACTTTGTACGCGTGAAAATAGTTTAATTATAATATTTCCCGTTTTTTGCATCATTTTTCTTTACTGTTCCGCCCCTATTGGCTGTAGGCTAATGTTATATTATAGCCCAAAGCCTTCCTCAATAAATGGGCTATTCAACACAAAAATAATATTGCAAGCGCGTTCCGGAAAACAAACAAACAAGCTTTATAATATTAGAATAGAACTGATAAACGTTTTTTCTTTCTCTTTCTTTCAAAATGTTCGCAAAGTGAAACTATGGCTAGACTAGGTAGTTAGTAAAAGGATT